GTTACTTAGAGCTGACCACATGGTGCAGGATCAGCCTGCACCATTTGTTAAAGAGGAAATACTCCTTACTTCAACTAGCTCTTGCTGATGGCTGCTTCCCCTTGAATCTTCCCTTTTCTTCTTTTTTTTTTGGTCCTCTGTAGGCTAGAAGTCCTAACTTGGAAAGCAGAACTCATTTTGACACAGTAGTCTACAGCCTGTTACAAAGTCTGCAGAGATCATTGCCATTATATTTGAGTATCTGCCACATAATGTGTTGGTTTGTTTTGTTTGTTCCATATGTATGGACCTGTGATTTGGGAGCCATTGTCATGCTGTTCATTAGTCCACCACACTAGTCCACAAGTCAGACTAGTGGATGGGCTGGAGCAGAATCTTGCCAGATTGCAGTTTGTACATCAAGTTTGAAATATTAGAGGGCTGGAAGGCCAGGTCGGACGGGGCTTGGAGCAACCTGATCTGGTGGAAGGTGTCCCTGCCCATAGCAGGGAGTTGGAACTGGATGGGCTTTAGGATCCCTTCCAACCCCAATCATTCTAGGATTCCCAGACTCCCATTTGAGAGTGCTGTAAGAGCAGATCATGGATACCTTTTTTTTTGCCTGGGGTTAAAGGATGTGTCATACCTATTCCAGCTTAAAGTTAGTAATTCTGAAAGTCAAACAGTGGCTTCCATTGCAGTGGAATACAAAACTTTGGCTCTAGTGAGTCATGATTAAGGGTTCATTCGAAGATGAGTAAGAAATGTAGTGAAATTTCCTGCCAGTACTGATTGTCCTTAACCTGGGAGGTATTTGCAGTTGTCTGCAAAACAGTTCAGCAGTTGAGCACAATTTTCTACCAAAGCCAGTTTAGTTAGGGTTGATGGCAGGTGGTTTCACAAGCGTGGTACACGGGTACATATAATTTGTGTAAATAACCCCCTATATTCATAAAACTACATAGAAGAAGAATCTATACAAAAACCATGTCATGTAAACACTGCTCAGGAAAGAGTTTGTCCAGGAAATGATAATGCATGATAAAGTAACAATATAAGCAGAGAAGTAGGTGTTCCTTGGGCTACATTAAAAGCGGACTGCAAACACCCTTCAAGCACTGAATATTTCAGTTCTTGGGAAACACTGGATATTGTGAAGGCAGAGTGGAGAAAGTGATGTCCTTTGTTCTCCTTAGTACCAGTACTTCCCAGTACTGGTATTTCCCTCCATAGGCAGGAAATATTCAAAGTCATGTGTTAAATAGTAGATACGACTTTTTATTTACATGTGTACATTTTGATTTTGGTAACTATATTCCTGCAGCTTGGATTGGTTTTTATTGTTAGATGCTTTGAGCAACACTTCCCCCGCCCCTGTTTGTTAGCCATTGAATTGAACAGCTCTTGGCTTGACTTAAACAGGGTCAGAATTTTCCCAGCTTTTTAACAGGTAGCCTGTAACTTCCAAGTGTGGTATTTTTGAGGTTAGTTTTTATTCCTGCAAAAAACTCAAGTGCCCATATAACTCTTTGGGATCAGTTAACCAATGAAACAAAGCAAAAAACCCAGCTAGCAACCCAAGAACTTCTGAAACCAATTTTACACGTTTTCTAAACAAATATATCTTCAAAATAGCCAGCAGTGGCAAAGACACCAGCTGCGGACAGGAGCAGGGATGTTTTTCCAAACTGCCAAATCAATGCTGTTTTCTTTTCCACTGTGTAAACTTTGTCAACAAAACTGGTTCTGGGAGAGCCATTGAAAATATTTCACCATATTCCAAGTGTGACTGCCACAAATGAACTGCTAAAAGTGCAACAAGCACGTTTGAACTGGCAAATAGAATTGGCACTGTTCTTTGTCAAACTGCACGCAATTGTGCTGTGTGGTTGTAGGAAACCAGCTCATCCAGAAACACCCTTTTGTTACCATGTCTTATTAACATTTAGAAATCTCCATTCATTAAAGTTGTGGCACTCGGCAACAAAACAAATGGAATTTACCATTAAAGTGGATGATGAGACTGTAACTACTGTGCCTGGGTGAAACTAGGGAATTCTGGACATTGGTTAATTTGGGGTGAGTTATTTGCTGTGTTGTGTAGGCACAACAGTTGGAAATGATGGCAAAGAATGTGAATCTCACTGCACAGCTTCATTTCGGAGTGCATGTTAAGTTTGTATGCTTTTCACTGGCGTGGTAGCTGTGACTGTGGAATGAAAGGGAGGAAGGGAAAATAGAGCTGTCCTTTGCCCTTTGCAAGTGTTTGGTGAGACTCATCTTGGCATGAAATAGAAACAGCTACAGCCCCCTACACAGGTTCATCTTGCACCAGTGTTCCCAGTTAACAATTATGTAGACAATGGTTTTGATTGTGTGCATACATCAACAGCACCACCCACAAACCCCCACTCCCAGATATAAGGAGATTGTGCATATCTAGTTGATCAAAACAATGTGAACTGTAAACTGGGAACTCTTACACTTGTTATGCTATTTCAAGATATCCTTTGCAAACACAATGTTGCCATATAGTGCTCCTGGTACTCTATACATGTACTTACATGCCATCAGAGACCTCCTGCCTATCAGCATTGCTCTCCTGCAGGGTCTCTGCTTACTGTCCTGCAGTCTAGCATTAAACTGCTTGTAGTATTATAAATAGCCATGTGCTACCACACAGAACGAGGCTAGCACATGGCTAATTACGAGTATACAGTAATTAACTATGAGCTAAACTCGCAGGAGAGTATGTGGTGGTGGTCTATGAGGTATGTAATCAGACTGTTTGTTAAACCTTGGGAGCCTTTCCAGTCTGTTAAGTAACTATACATAGTAATGAGACAATTTTTTAAAAACCATTTATGTTTATTTATGGACACAAAAAAATTAGTCTGTCTTATTTCTGAGCTGCACTAAAATGTTGCTGCCTGAATGGTTAATTAAAATGATGCAACACAAGGTACACATGCAGCTCCTGCTTAGCTGTATGTATGAGACTAATTGTCTCAGCCTCATCTGTGTGAAGTTTAGAGTGTTATTCATTGTGAATGTTACACCTTGTTTCATGGATGTGCAGTAAACCCAATAATACAATTTCTCCTTTTGTGGATTTGAATGTCATGCTACTCATTTTGAGGAGCATCTGTTCCTGAATCTTGTTGGGCTTTGCCTGACTTTTCTCCCTTTTCACATTGTTAACAACTGCCAGTTAGTTTTGGTTGTATTTTTCTTCAGGATGTTCTTTCAGTGTGACTCCAAAACCCATCCACGCTGGCACAGTGGAAGAACCATGGGGGTCAGGCCCTTTTGCTGGGCTACCTCCTGTTAATTGCTCTTCTTCATTACCCTGACAGCTGTTTCTGTCTGTTCCAGATTACCATGATTGAGGCCTCTCTTTAGAAAATGTCAGGTTGTCTACAGGGAAGTTAGATCAGACTCTTTCAAATACATTTAAATTTGATTCTTCTCTATACCTATCAAACCTTGTTAAGTAATTTGATATTAAAATACATTTTTCTTATACACAGGTTCTTTTCTGATCTGTGTCACGGAGCATATCTAATTGTTTGGGTAATGTGATGTTGTTGAATACCATGAAAACACATGGGATATATTCCTTTAAAGTAATGTCTTCGGTTATTAACACATAGTCTGCATGTGTCAGAGACTCAAGCACTTGTGTCTCAATTCCCAGTTCAGTACAATAATATGGTAAGAATGAAGTTTACCAAAACTTCCTTCCTGGTTGTATGATAGTTTTAAATTGTCTTTTGAATATGACCACTTCTTGTTCCAGTCCACAGACAGTTCACACCTTCCAGAGCTACTGTTTTAGGATATGTTCATTTTATCTTAATGCGTTACTAGTATAGAAGCATTCACGCAGGGGAGTGTCAAGCAGAAGGCAGTGGGGACCCTATGGGTGTTTGGGGTGTATATGCTGCCAGATTCAACCCAATTGCCGAATAGAATTAAAGGAAGATGGCAGCTGAAGGGGGCTGTTCAAAATATTTTTGTGCCCTGACCACCAAAAAATATAAGCTTTGATGGTTTGGTGAGATCCAAGTTTACTTTATTTTTATTACATGGATAAAAGGAGTCTATTTTTGTGTGTGCTGATAGTTGAAGTGTTTCACACCTGGGCTGTTGTTGGTATTTGATCATTACAAGAAGTTTGAAAGGGACATTTATTTCCTAGGAACTGTATTCTTTTTTAGTTTTCTTTTCAGTGATGATTCTAAAAGATGATTTAGTCTCATTAAATTTTAATCCCAGTGTAGCTCCATGTAGCTTCAGTAGTATCAGAGAGAACTGATAGTTCTCTCAGGGTCAGAAAAAAATAGGATTGCATTGTCTGTGCAGAGAGGTTCTGTCTCCTGGGCTGTAATTGGCACATGTGGTCAATTATTGTTTTGAAATCTGTACTTGCAGTTAGAGGCACAATCCCTTGTCTCCCCTTTAGGCAGGTGGTGGCTGTGCTATCCCTAACTTAGGCCAGTGTCTAAATAATGTCAGAATAGAAATCACAGTTCTAGGGCCAAACTAATTTGTAATAGAGGAAAGCAGACAATCCTCTCTAAAGGCATAATGTAGGTCACAACTTTTAAGTGGTGTCTTTGTCACGACAGTGAATTGGCAGCAACCAAATACAGAGGTTATCCAATTGACTGGAATGACTTCAACATAGTGTGTTATAATGGAATACCTCATTGTGGTGCAAAGGTGTAGTGGGCACATCCTGCTTACTCCTTAATTAGCATCTAGGAAGAGAGTTCTGAAAATGTGGGTTAAAATTGCCTCAGTACTTGTTGATTAAAGCTTCCACATGTGTGTGGGATTTGTTTTGGTTCTCTTTGAACTTTGCAAACCTCTAGCTTTTAAAAGCAGGAATTCAGAGAAAATGTTGGGTATCTTTGTCATGTATTTTGTTGGTCACCTTATGCATTGTTAGCTTGGTTTTTATTTGTAATCGTATTTTGCTTCACACAACTTGATCCCTTCTCTTTCTCATTTTGCAGCTTCCCCTCATACTCGTGTTCCTGTAGAAGATGATGCAGTGCATGTAATTAAAGTGGTAATGTGTAGATCTCATTACTAAATTATTAACTTGTGCACACAGTTCTTTCTCTTTATTGTCTGTCCTTATTGTCAGCATTGGGTCTGTACTGAGTGCTTGTGCTTTTTGTTTTTTATATCTTGAATTACTTTCCCTGCTTGGGGATGTTTTTGGCATTTCTATGACTCACAATGTTTCCTTGAGTTGATTCCTTCCTTTCCTTGGTTACTGCCCTCAACAGTTTAGTAAGGAAAATCAGGATATGAACTTGAACACACCTCATTTACAGGATTTTTGAAAAAAGTGTCTTAAATCATTCCTGAATCTGAGTTGTTTAAGAAAATGTGTGGCCAAACAACTTATTAAAATGACATCTCATATGGCATGAAGTATGGGAGGGGGGGGGGGGGAAGGGGTTTCATTCTCTTGAATTTCTCTTTTCTTGAGAAACCATTGCTTTTCTAATGTGTTTTATGATACTGAATTTGCTTATTTCTCAATAGGAATATCTTGAAAATGGCCCCTTATTTTCTGAACTGAAATTTTACCAGAGGGCTGCAAAACAAGAGCAGAGTAAGTAATATATCAGTTCTGATTCTGATAGATTTAAGAGCAAGTTTGGGTTTAACTGCTTCTAGTAAGAACTGTTGTTGATAGTGAACTCATTTCGTATCCACTGACTTAATACTGTTGGTGCTGTAATAATTTTAGATTGCTCTTATGTTTCTTTGCTTGGATGTTATCTTTCTCCTTTTTGATCAGAAGGGAGAGTAAAAGTGTGCCAAATGCATTCTGTGCTCACTTCAGAGTGCACAGTGAATGGACTCAAGAGAGAGGCCAGCCTTAGAACAGAGGTAGTACATGGACTAATTGCTGAGTGTATTTCTGCTAGTAACAATTTCCATGTGCAGAGCTAAGAGTGTGCGTAATCATCGCAGGATTTAGTAGTAATCAAGGCACTTGATTCTGCACACACTTAAACATGGATTTGATTGATTCACAGGAAATGTCCTAAAGACTTTAGATGACTTAGCTTGCTGGTAGACACAAGCACTTCTGATGCCTTGAATCATTCTGTATGGAACGAAGCAGATTTTCAGAAGGAATTATTTCTCCAGCTATTGATAATTGTTTATCTGCCTTCTAAGAGAACCAAGTACCACACTGATAGAACAAAAGCTGCTTCTTGTTTTGCAAAATGCAGAGAACTTTAAAGTTATGGGCTGACTTGTTTGCTACACAAACTACAAAATCATTACTTGTTTCATTGTTTCATTCGATGTCTTGGCTTGATAGCTAAAACAAAACCAGCAAGAAAACCTCACTCCAAACCTGAAATTCTCCAGTTTTCTTTAACCCAATGTTTTTTCTTTATTATTATTACAGTAAGAAAATGGACGAATCTCAAGAAAATAAGATGTTTAGGAATTCCAGTGTTTTGGGGATCAGGCTTGGCTGAGTACAAGGGAAAAAGGTAATAAAAGATGAATTGTAATTAAGCCTCAAATTCATTGAAGATCCATTTTCAAGAAAATGGAGATAAGTCCTTTCAATTTGACACAAACTTGCAGTACTGCCTTAAAGGATTCCTTCCTGTTACATCTTTCCTGGTAGCTATAGGTTCATGGTTATGGAGAGACTGGGGCAAGACCTTCAGCGAATCTTTGAAGGTTGTGGAAGCAGATTTAAGAAGGAGACTGTTCTGCAACTTGGGGCACGAATGGTATGTACAGAGAGAGGCAAAATTGCTGTGTCTTGAACTTGCTGAGTTCAATTGGAAAATTATCTTTCCAATATTGTTCCTTTAGGTGGCTCTTGAGTTCAGAAAAAAATATGTAAATGCTATGTATGTTCTTGGTTTTAATCTGAGTGTAAGGATAAGCTTTTACAGAAAGAGTGTCTTAGCACTGGAACATGCTTCCCAGAGGCTGTTAAATGTCCCTCCTTGGGGACTCTGAAACCTGACTATCTAAATCTCTTTTACAGCCTGATCTAACTTACATTAGACCTGCTTGAAGCAGGGGATTTAAGCTGGACACCTCCAAAGTTTCCTTTTAAACTGAATAATAATAATAATAATTATTAAAAAAAGTGAAAGGCTTTTGTAGCCACATGGTTGACAAACTTGTAACACTCTCTGTACCTTCCAAACACGAGGACTAGAATGTTCTTTTCATGAGTTTCCAAGTGCAAACATGATTTGAATAACAATTGGAGCTATTTTGTACCTCAGTAAAGAGGTGAAAGAGGATGGTGATGATGCAGGGGGATGGTGACATGAAATGCAGGTAACAGAATAACTGTCAGGATCAAATATATTATAAACCTTAAGGTTTAGAGTATGTTCTTTTTGAGAGCTTTGTGTTCCCAAAATTTCCTTCAGTGTTTATAAAGTACTAGATTCATTCTTGCTTTGTGACCTTACGCTAGTGCTTGTAGTTACAGAGGGATACCTCATGGCAAAGCACAGCCTATTTTTGATTTGCCATACACCTATGTGTCTGGTGGGAGCAGACCCTGTGGACAGAGTGGGTAGTCCTTGTGCTCTAACACAAAAACAGTTAGCCAGCTCAGTCTGTGTAGCCTAGATTTCCATGTGTGAGAAATATTTGGTGGTGGGGTTAGGGACAGAGTGGAGAAGATGATGATGTTTTCTTTTCTGTTCTAAATCCTTTCCTAGTTGGATACCTTAGAATATATACATGAAAATGAGTATGTTCATGGTGATATTAAAGCAGCAAATCTACTTTTGGGCTACGCCAATCCACACGAGGTAAATATGTTTACTTATCTACACTGTTCCTCTAATGTGTTCATAACAGTTTGATAGTTTTAAGTCATGTATATTCAGCATCACCAATTCACATATTAAAAGAAATTTATGCATGAGCACTCACAACCTCTTACAACAAATCTGAGAGGGGTTCTGTGGTGTTTAAGGTCTGAGAAGCAAGCAGAACAGACCTCTGCTTTGTGCTCTGCTGACTGGGGTGCTGGTATGTATGGGTCAGCTAAACAAGAGGGTAAGCCAAAGATCTAATTGCTGTTCTAGGTTGTGCCAGTTTATTAGTAAAGTTTAAGGATGTGGCTCTTTGTATTGTCATTCTTGGGAAGGTCTACCTGGCTAATATTGTCATATGTTTCCATGCTTGCGAACTCTTATGTCCTGCTTGTTGTAATAGATATTACAATGGATATTACAACACCTGGCCTGGCGGTGTTCAAGGCCAGGTTGGACAAAGCTTTGGGTGATATGGTTTAGTGTGAGGTGTCCCTGCCCATGGCAGGGGAGTTGGAACTGGATGATCTTAAGTCCTTTCCAAACCTAACTATTCTATGATTCTGTATAACAGGTAAGTAGGATTACAGTTGCTGCTCTCTAACACTCTAAAGCCTAAAGCCAGCCTAGAAATTGAAGTATTTTGGTGAAACGTTTTGAAACAAATCTTTTGATCCTGTCATATTCCACACACTTTTACCATGTCTTTTTGTTTTTTTTTATTCCTGTATTAATAAAATCTAAGTTTGCTTTTTTTCTTGGGAAAAATATCATTTAGGAAGAAAGGATGTCTCTAACTTCACTTAAATATAATGAGCCGTAAGCAATACTTCTGTTCTTTCAGTATTTGTGTTTTCTGCTGCAGTGATTAAGAAACAGATCTTGCAAAACAGCTCCTGCCATTGGGGGTTGAACGATTAACTATAGCTGCTTTTTTACAAGTTTCAAGTTAGATGTTGAAGTCAAAATTAACTTTCCAGCTTTCTAAACCCCATAGTTTGAAAACTATGATGGCTGTTTAAAACAACCAGGGTCTTAAAAAGTAGTAGCAGCCAGTACATAATCTCAGTTTATGGTGTTTTCCAGCCTACTGAATCCAAAGGAGGTGGCTGTTTAGAGGCAAAATGATCTGCTACCCAGACCCATTAACATACTCAAATGACTTTTTTTGTCTTAGCTATTGTATATTTTTATGACAGCAAGATATGCTGCTGTTTTTCATATTGAAGTCATTTTGGAAGTGTCCATTTACAGTAATCATAAAATTTTAAGACATGTAGCTGACTTTGATCTGCTGCTTTTGTATTAGCCACATTGTGGGGTGATATTCTGATTTGCTTCTTATCTTTTCTGCATGAAGATTGTGCTATACTAGTATTTTGTTTTCATGAATTCACTGAGAGATTAAAAATAAGGTACTTGTGAGTTGCTGGACAGAGGTTTTTGGTGGAAACTTGTTACATTAAATAAATCAATACTTATTCCATTTTAAGTACTGCCTAGCCCAACATATACAAAGTATATGTTACTGCTGAGAGGTTTTGTGTAGAATTTTGTTTCAGTACAATTTCTTTTCCATTGAAATTATTCTATGAAACGTTTTAAGAAGTTCACATTCTAATTCAGAAGAGCTCACAGGAGAGAATTTCTAATATTTGCTTGAGTTTGTAAGGTGTGAATTAAATTTTCATTTCTGTGTGCTTAAGAAAACTCAGAGCTGTTCAGCTGTTATTCAGATAAAGCTCCCAGTCATGTGCCCCAGAAATTCTGCAAGTGGCCAAAGGTCTGCTGTTTTCACTGAAGCTATGGCAACTATACCATGCCAGTCTACAGTTATGTAGAGAGTGATGATTCTAAATGCATTTTAAGGTAATGTGCACTATATTTAGCTTACACAGCAGGGCAGATGGCTTAATGGGACTGTTTCTGGTCAAATAAATTCTTTTACAGACACAGCTTTGACAATACCTTGAAACATGTATGCTCTGCGGCTTGTGGGGCATGAAAAGAAGGACTAACCTCACCAACACCAGAGAAAAAACTTTCAAACTGGCAGACCTACATAAGCCACTAATTGAATATCCCTCCTCTGGAATTGCTGGCTTTCGTGTCCTTCTGCCCCATACTTCAGTGAATGCTCTTTATCTGGATTAGGAGCAGTACTAGACAATATTCTCACATGGATTCAGGTATTCAGAACAGCACATGTCTACTTGCACAGATCATTTTTTCACTTGTCATGTCCTGACTATTTGCATGTGCCATTAATTTGCATGTAATTTTGCCATGGAAGTTGCTGCTTCCTATTCCAAACCTGTCCAGTTCCTATGTAAGACTTCATGATGTTGTGACAGCCTTTTCTACAAATCAAGATGTCTTTATAACTTGCGGGTGAGCTGAATGTATTATCTGTTTTTACCAGAATAGTATCAGTGGAGCATTACTACCAATTAAATATGACAACAATATGGAATACAATGTCTTGTATCTTTCAAACTGTTGTCAGAGATGCTATATTTTAAGTTGGCAATCTTGTACTACCCTTGGACACTTCAGATAAAACCTCAGACACTGTTACTGCTACCAAATGCCTGTAAAGTGGTTTGTCCAACCTTCTCTCTCTGCTAAAATTGTGCATAGCTAGATTGCCTTGGTCTTGTTTTATTACAACAATGGAACTGGGAGGTAACATGATCAACCTAATCTCTTAAATATAGAGTGAGAGCATCCAGCCAGTGGCAAACTCAAACTCAGGAATATAAACTGAGGGACCTATAGCTCCAGCAGCAGTTGGCATAATAAAGCTGTCTGACCTAACTATTTATGTGGTGAGGTCTTTTAAGTAATTTTATGTTAGTGGATTGTCTTTAGGTTCTAGGATTTTAAGAGAAAATAAATTGGAATTGTTCTTTATTTCCAGAAATTTGCTTTTAAAAGACCATAACCAATCTCTTTAAGATATATATATTCAAAATGTATTTCCATATTCTGTTTTCGTGAAGAGAGAGAAATCTGCTCCAAAAACCATGTGTACCTTTACATGCTTTTTGTCATTTAGTGACTGTTCATGTGCACTGTGATGTGTGAATTTGTTTCTGACTTCCTGCAGTTCCCAAAAAGATCTTTCTTCCATGTTAGACTTTCTGCTGCTACTTTCTGTCATTCTTTAAATTAACCTGGTAAATTTACACCACAGCCAATAACTACCATAGCTCCCTTTTTGAAAGAATGTGTGAAATCCATACTGCTTTCCCCTATCTTCTGTGGCAAAGCAAAGAAACAAATAAAGGTCCTGTCACTCGCTGACCTCCGAATGATGTTTAGAAATGGTTTTAAGATCAGAATCAACTGACCTCAAAGAGCAGCTTGCTGCAGATCTATTCAGCAGAAGGGAGAGAGGCCATTCAGTGAGTTACAGGTCAAAAGATCAATTCTGTAGTCAATATGTTTCTGAACATGGACCCAGCACAATGACTGACAGAGCAGGAGTGATGTACTGAGGGAAGTGCGCAGCCCATGAATCTTGGAGAGGCCTGAAAGAAAACTTGAAGCCATCAGACCTCTAAATTACAGAAGAAGCAAAGCACTGTCTCAGTATTACAGTGAGTTAAAGATAATTTGGTGTGTAGCAGCAGCTGTTTGTATGATCAGAGTAAGCAACATCGATACAGGCTCTAAAAGGGAAATTCAAATCCATTAAACTCATTTAAATTGTGGTACTATTAGAAGGGACAAACTGTCACCAGAGAAGCTCTTAAAATCAGAATTTTTAATACATCAAATTAGGCTTGGAAATATGTCCCTTCAAAACAATTGCCTTGTTGTATTTTCCTTTTCTTCCCCTATGGAATATATGGGCAGACGTACTGCAGGCTCCAGGCTGCACCAGACATTGCTTACTTGGATTTCTAAGCTGTACATTTAAATTGCATTTGCACCTCAGTTCTAGTTTTGATTTTAAACGTTTCTTAGACAAGATAGTTACAGAATAAAGCTCCCAGACTTGATTACCATAGATAGCCCTAACTGAAAAGTAAAAAAGAATACAAAAATGTTAACTTTCAAGAGCAGCTTTCAGTGGACTGGCATAGAAGATACAGAGCTCACACACTGATCATAGGGGGAAAACATGCATGAAAATAATTCCAACTTTAAGCTGTTTTTCATTGTGAGATGAATCATTGTGATTCCTGCTCTTTAGTCCAGTATGACAGATATGACAGATTTGCTAAAGGGAAGATGAATTGAGAAAAAAGAAAATCTTCTGCTCTCCTTCACATGTTTTTAGGAAGGATACAGTGTGCAGAGACACCGCACAGAAACAGCTGAGGTGTAGCTCATGGCTACAACCCTGGTCGGAGATGTAGCTTCACAATCAGATGGCCTTAATGTTCTTTCATCAATCCAACTGCTACATTTGGATAGAACAGTTTACAGTCATCTAACTTCTTTTGTTAGTAATGCCCCAAATAACTTGGAGTTCAGTTGATCCTAGCATCAGGACTTGCCATGTCACAGAAGATTTCTTTGCCACTTCCCTTTGTTTAACCTGCTCTCCTCCTTGACTGCTGTTTTGTGGAAGATGCTATTTCTGTCCCAAAGACTATAGTTCAGACTTCCTCTCCCAGGATAGACTTCAGTCTGCCTTTACCCTTTTTGTAGTGCAGTGTCCAACTGAAGCTGACAGCAATACGGCCATTAGCAACCAATCTGCCTCTTGTTAGTAGGTATCTACTTAATTATTTACAGCACATTACATAAGCTGAGTAATGGAACCACTGGAAAGCAAATGTACAAAAAAATCACTGTATTGTTGTCCTTTCGGCAATAAATCTCCTGCTATGTGTGCTTCGAGAATGCCATGAGAATCCCAAGTGCCAGGCTTATGGCTTCCCAGATCAGTGGAGTTTATAGATATATCAAAACATATGCAATTTGCAAGAGTTTTATAAATTTAGCAGATTTTTAGCACTTCAGATGTAAAACACCATGAGGGAGTCCTGCCCAGGAAGGACAAGGGGACGCTGAATCTATGGCTGGGTGCTCATGCACATCAATAATTACTTGTGCCTGTGTGGCTGTTTGCATGGAATTAAGTGTGAAGACTTTAGAAATCTGGCTCCTGATCTGTAATAAAATCTATTAATAACAGACTGTGCTAAGCACAGCTGAGTCTAGTGCAAGCTGGGATGTGTAAAACAGAGAAACTTGAACAAAAACAGGAGTTAAAATAAGTCACTGTGTGGGAAGGAGTGTGCAGGGTAACACAGCTAAACCCAGCTGTTCCAGGCTTATGTCACTGTTGCACCTTCGTCATCCATGTTACCACTTCTTGTTTCAAGTGTCTTGTTTATCTGACTCTGCATATGTTTTGTCCCGTTTTTTTTTGTTCTTGTTTTGTTGTTCCTAAAAAAAAGGCAAGCAGATGAAAAATATTTGTTATTGAAACACATACTAACACTGACTTAATTTTCTCTATATACTCTAATATTAATCTTCTTTTCCCCTCCCCATACCCTTAAAAAACCTGCAACAGTGAGGCCTTGGGTGATATGGTTTAGTGGGAGGTGTCCCTGCCCATGGCAGGGGGGTTGGAACTGGATGATTTTAAGGTCCTTTCCAACCCTAACTGTTCTATGATTCTATGAGCAGGCTACAATTTCATTACTACCTCGACCCACCATGTTCTGAGCAAATTTGGAAGGACATGCTATGTTACATTATCAAAAAGTGACAACTAGCTATAAAGAACTATATATCTCTTTAATGATGAAAGGGTTATAATGAGAATTGATGAAATGAAATTAATGGTAATTTAAAAGAACGTAGTTGTTCTGATAATGATTGTGGCAAGGTTGTAACAGTGCTTTGCTGGTTTTGTACAGGCTGAGGGGGATTGATTTTTGTTGGTGGCCAAGAATCTTTGCCTTGAGAGGTTTGTGGCACAGATCTGATGTGAAAGTTATGGAAGTGATAAATGGCTCAACTAGAAGGAAGCTGGGCAATGACGCTCATGACCAACTTCTGGAGCAAACTGCGGTGCTGTCATAGATGGTGTTACAATCATGTATGAGTGGCTTTAGGGCAAAATTACTTCTTGGTTTTCAGATCTTGCCACCACCAGCCAAGGCAAGATAACCTAAAGCTACTTCACACTTTTAGAGGGTTTTTTCAGTATAAATTTAAAACTGCTCTGCTGATGCTACTACTGAGGGTATTTAAAGCAAATCTCTTGCTTAAAAATAGATTAAGAGTACACAGTAACTGTGATTTATCTGTAGGATAACTGGTAGCTCTTTTACATAGTTCAAGTTTGACTCACAAATGTTTGTGGCTACTTTCTAGATGCCCTGCTATTTAGTTTGAAAGACCCCAAGGCTGGGCTGCCATATGGGAGTGTCTATCACATAAACTAGCATTCCCAGGCAGACACAACCAGAGAGCTTGCAGAGATGCTTTGGTTGTATTGGTTTTTCTAACAGACACAGCCTGAATTTGTGAAAGTTGAAATCCGCTCTATTTCATCTTATTGTATCTGGTCAACTGTACCTGTTGGAAATCTGAAGTCAAGCAAAACCCAAGATGTACCACTTAGCCTGGGAGGGATGCACCTTCTAGCCTGCTCTTTCCTTCCCAGCCCACAAAGGATGCTGAAGTCTCTCAAAACTTGATATTAGGGTAGTTTAAATTAGTTCTCTGATGCTGACTGTGGGCTTGATTACAACAGGTAACAGAGCATCAGGAATATATAGGAGAAAGGATGCAGGAGAAAATCAAATCGGTCAACTCGACAAAGTTTATGCCTTGTCCCAGATTTTCTAAACATGCCTATGGTCTTTAATCTTGTATCACAGTTTGCATAGTCTGTCAGGTGAAAAACATCATCTGCAATCTTAAAAGCCATCACCCTGCAGGAAGCTAGTTCTGTATCCCAGCTTACACGCTCCAAATAAGCACAGATCCTGCAGCAGAAACAGTAAAACCAAGAGACCAGCCGTCCCAGGATTTGAAGCTGCCTCGAGCACAAACAGGAATCAGTAGTTCAACAGAATGTGCTCCAAAATAATGTGTTAAGTTTTCTTGAGGGTTTTTTTGTTCATTTGTTTGTTTCCTACCACGAGTGATATAATTCAATTACAAAGGAGTGCCATAAGAGTTTATTTGAGACTTGTAGGACAAACTGTTCTTTAGCTAAAGAGGGAACAAAACTAAGGTTCAAATAAGAAGTTTATCTTTCTAATATAATGTGATTTAGTAGAAATGATCTCTGTGTGCCTTCTGATGATGTAGCTTTTGCCCCAGAGATCACTTCCACTGGCAAAACAATAACAGTCTGTAGCATTTACTTTTTTCCCAACTGAAAGTACCATACTTGGATATTTATTAAAAAAAGCAATTACCTAATGTGAGAAGTGGTCAATGTAGGGGGCAAAAGCCAGGGGGGGGTGTGAGAATGACAGAGGGAGAAAATAACCTATGGAATATTGGGGAGTGGACAGACTGTGATTAAATTCCAGCTGCTTTCAACAAGTTACTGCTTGTCAGCGGCGCTGCAGTAATTGCCCATGTGCATGTATTAAGTCCACCCCGCTGGAGGGTATAGCATCAACGTAATGGTTAACCTCAACTTCATAGACTGGAATGATCTAAATTATGTGAGTGGCAGAACTGCTATGGCTGCAGGACTGCCTGCACTATGTCTGCAGAGAAATAGAGGTGTAGGGGCCAGATGGGGTGTTTGCGATTGTCTTCACTGCCAGCAGCAGAACTGTCCTGGTTTTGTCTGGGATAAAGCGAATTTTCGTTCTCGTAGCTGGTCAAATGCTGTGTTCTGGATTTAGGATGATAGTAATGTAGATAACACACCGATGTTTTAGCTTTTGCTGAGCAGTGCTTACCCTGGGTCAAGGACTTTTCATTTTCCCATGCTCTGCCGGTGAGGAGAGGCACAGGTAGCCAGGAGGGAGCACAGCCAGGACACCTGACCCACACTAACCAAAGGGTTATTCCAGAGCTTGGAATGGCAGGCTCAGTATAGAAACGGCAGCAAGTTGGCCGGGAGCCCCTGATCACTGCTTAGGCTGGTCATCAGTCAGTGGGTGGTGGGTGATTGTATTGTGCATTACTTGATTGTCCTCAGTTTTATTGCTCCTTTTTTTTCCCCATTGCTATTACTGATTATAGTGTTTTACTTTACTTCCATTATTCACATCTTTCACAGTTAATTCCCAAGAACATGCAAGTGCATCTCCAAGATACGTTTTTCATAACTGAGGGGTTTCCTCCCCCAGCTTATTTAGGTAGTGAAGCATCTTGAGGAATAAAAATTACCTATGCCAGGATGGAAAGGTAAATCCTAGAATCACAGAATGGTTTGAGATAGAATGGACCTTAAAGCTCATCCAGTTCCAACCCCTGCAACGGGCGGGGACACCTTCCACTGGAGCAGCTTAATCCAAGCCCCTGTGTCCAACCTGGCCTTGAACACTGCCAGGGATGGGGCAACCACAGCCTCTCTGGGCACCCTGTGCCAGCGCCTCAGCACCCTCACAGGGAAGATTTCTTCCCTAGTATCTAATCTAAATCTCCCCCTTTTAGTTTAAAGCCATGTGGCAGAATGTATAAACATGCTGCAGTATACACAGTGGGAGCCCTAAGTTTTAACTTTACACTGATTTAGCTCCATAGATTTCCTTCAGAGTAACTTTGAGTGAAGTCTGGCTCTGTAGCTTTTTTAAAACTTATTAAAAATGATTTATTAAGATTGCTCTTTGGGGTAGAGGGTATAGTTTGTTATGCTTTATCTTATCCTTTATATTTAAATAGTTGCTGTCAGTACAAAGTTACTGACAGTGACACGCAAAAAGAGGAGGCTGCTGTCAGGCTAAAGCTCAATAGCCCTGTGGCCATGGTCCCTGTCAGTGCTGGGGCCCTGTGTGCAGCAGTGCTAGGGGAAGCTGCTGCCTCTCCCTTCCTCTGGCTTTCAAGTGTCACTGCTGTTCTGAAGTCGCACAGTCTCAGCTGATGGGAAATGTGAACTGGGGTGTGTATGTGCCTTGAAGTAAGGAGGGGAAGGGGTCCCATAAGCAATGTGAGGGTATATAAAAGGCATATTGCACTTTATGATATCTAGATGCCCACCTGGAGAGGAGAGAGCTTATGAACAAAATAAAAAGACTGAAATTCAGCTCGACTCTGAAATAAGATAAGAGTATAGTAGTGGAAGGATTTAAATGGGGAGGGCAGCTGTTATAGCCCCCAGATGTACATATTTTATTCTGAGGCACCATTTGGTTTAATAAAATTTAGATCTAAGGCTGTCCTTAACCTATCAGTTTCTTAAGACTTAATTATAAAGGTTATACTTTCAAAGGACAAAAGCATTATTCATTTGTCTGTTCATGTCTTCCAGGTTTATCTTGCAGATTATGGACTTTCCTACAGATATTGTCCCAATGGGAACCACAAACAGTATCAGGAAAATCCTAGGAAGGGCCATAATGGGACAATAGAGTTTACCAGCGTAGATGCCCACAAGGGAGTAGGTAGGTTTCCTTTTTTTATTCCAGAGGAGTGATTACAGAATGAGTAATCAGGCTGTGTGAGCTGATGTATACAGTACAAGCAGTCCTGGGGATTGCTCAGGGTTGATCAGACCCTTGTGTGGTGACCTCTTCCTGTACCTGGGAATGCTTCTCCAGGGCTGCTGGGGGAAGGGGAGCAGTGTAAGTACAATTGAAAGGCTGCAGAATGCATGGTACTGGGAGGTGGACAAAAATGCCCCAAGAAGAGCTTGCCAGTAAACCTAATTGGTTCATATTGGGAGTACTGGTTTGGGTTTGCTATGTGCTGTAAAGGCAGAGACATTCGCTAATGCTGCACTGTCAAGGAAAAATGCTCCGAGCCTGCACTGTCCTTTAGGGAGAGCTGTGTCTGAGTGTCACCATCTGTGTTATGAGAGGATATTTCACAATGACATTCCTTCTGCGAGGAGAAAAACCTGGTTTGAAGCCATAAAGTGTTAACTTTTTGAAATCTTTTTCCAGTAGCCTTTCATATATCTTACTTATTTAAACTCACTTTGATGGTATTGGAAACACATTTGCAGGTAAATTACATACATAGTCCTTTTATTGGATATTGATTGGACTGCCTTGCATTCCAAGGCAGACTTAATTCAACAATTCCCTAATTAGTTAAAGTCATAACCTATGTCTTGTATTCATTTACCATTAATTAAACCTTAGCTGTTTATTACACTGCAGTCCAAATCCAATAGCAGACCCATAGAGCCATGGAAAAGGGAATGGGAGGTCAATATCGAAAATATATATGGTGCAAAGTCCCACTGATGGCTGCATTGTTCACAATCAATATGGTCAATGCAACACAACTTTCGTAGTTGCTATGTCAGCAAGACAAAAAGTCAATTCTAATGTTATGCTAGTGAAAAAAATGGTGATTATTGAAAAACTTTGACTCTTGCTATGAAATGGTGTTTTTGTTAACTTTTCTTCTCCCTGTTCCCCACCTCCTTACCCCGAAGATCTCCTGAAACAAAAGGAATGAGTTTGTGCTGCCAGCTTGGCCAGGATCATAATGTCACAAGTGATAACTGTAGAAATTTGTGCTTGTTAATAGCTGCTGAACTGTTACCTTAAACTAATACTTTCTAACGAGTTTTAGTTGGCACAAACAACTGTGTATTATTGCTTTTTCTATTAAAAGGACCATTGACCATGTAATGTAGAGGGTCTTGATAATTTGCTGGTGCTGTTAAAACCTGCAATCGTTTAACTCTGGTCATTAGGAAAAATGAAATAAGACTGTCAAGTATTTGTTGCTGAGACAATTGCACCATTTCACCTGCTACAAAATATTTTGTGGTGGAGAGGGACCGTTTACAAGGGCATGTAGTGATAAAACAGGGGGAATGGCTTTAAACTGACAGAGGGGAGATTGAGATGGGACTTCAGGAAGAAGCTCTTCCCTGTTAGGGTGCTGAGGCACTGACACAGGTTGCCCAGAGAAGCTGTGGCTGCCCCATCCCTGGCAGTGTTCAAGGCCAGGTTGGACAGGGCTTGGAGCAAGCTGCTCTAGTGGAAGGTGAAGGTGTCCCTGCCCATGGTTGGTCCCTCCCAACCCAAACAATTCCATGAAGAGGACATCTGTTTCGGACTCTTTGTGCCTCCCAAGCACGCATTTCCTGGATTTCCTGGAGGTGTGACTCTGGCTGGTTTCTGTGGTAGTGTGGGCGACATGGCTGTGTTATCAGTATTTGCTGTGGATGCTGTTTGACCAGTAGGTGGAAGCTGGAATATTTGGGATTTGGCAGCTGGATACTTATAGCTGCTAGAGGGCAGGTGTCTGTTGATGGGTATGTGATTACAGGACAGATGGTTCCTTTAATTTCAAAGAGCAGGGAGATGGGTGACAAAAGGTGTGTACATGCAAGTGTGAGTGAAGTTGTTGTCTTTTGTAATCTGTGGGTTAGAATACACCCTCAAATAGCTAAAACCATGATGGAATTGGTGAAAAGTGTAAGATTCCAGAAAATAAAATATTCAGAAAATGGCTTGAAAGGAGCTAATCCCTCTCTTACACATGAAATTTTTTTGCTTGTTAATAGCTGCAAACAGAAGATCTGCAGATCTGTGTGATGCTCCTGCTGGAAGAGCCTGCAGAACATCATGTGGTATCTGGCATGTCGCAGAGAATCCAAACTATTCACACTGAATACTTCAGCTTTGCCCTTGTAACAGCCTGAATCCATTAAGGTCAAATTACCTGTTCCCCATTTACAGCAGGTCTCTCAGCATCTCAGGGCAGATTGCGCAGGTCCAGATGGCAGAACACAGGGACTGGTTTCCCTCGTCTCATCTCTTGTCGGGAGGTTTAGAGTTGCAGAGGTGTTTCAGGATTCTAAACCACGTCCAGCAGCTGCGACAAGGGGTTCATGGGTCAACAACCTCCTGTACTCCTGACTTGGGATTGAGTCTCAGCACAGTCTCAGCTACCAAGTGAGGTGGGGTGCTCTTCTCAAAGTGTTTAAAGCCTGGCAAATTGAAGTGCATAGACAGCCTTCATCCTGGTGTTACCCAGTTTTTCAGAGTGGAGTATTCTTATATTTCAATGTAGTTGTAATTTTTAAATGTAATTTTCTATAAATGAGATCCTCTCTAGAGGGCATTTCCTGAATGTACGTAGTAGCATAAATATCTCAAGCCTCAAAACCCCTGAAGAGCTCCAGTTGCTGTATTGAGCTAGACAAATGAGAACATTTTGACTTGCTCATGAAGTAGTTACCTGAATGCAGCAATTTGAGGTACATGCTGAAACCTAAAAGAAAATTATGAATTTGTTGCTTTCAAAAGTGCCTCTTGGCAATGCTTGAAGCTGATAACCTCCTTGCATAAAGCCAATCAAATGCAACCACTTCCCACTAATTTAAATCAGCACTGGTGTTTCCCTAGCTGAATTGAGAGTTTAACTCAGCTGCATGTCTATTTATTCCCCAAGCTCTCCAGGGAGTTCATCAGGTGTAGAGGATATGCAGTCCTGTGAGATACAGACAGTTTCTTGCCAGCACCCACTGCATGGTAGCACTTTTGGGTGGCAGAAGTAGTCCACGTTTTTCTAGCAATCTCTGGTAAGGGCTGCATTGAATGTGCCATTCCTGTGGTGACTGATGGTAAATTGCTGTCTCCAAACAAGTCACTTTAGTGTGTGCTGGTGTGCACTGATGGTGTTGGCAACCTTGACTTTGTGCTGCAGCTGAAGAGGAATTCCCCTGAGCTGGGAAAGGCTGGGAGCAGCTGCCCTGCCTCATGTCTCAGCTCTTCATGCTGGTTTTGGCTTCAGTTTTGCAGGGCTCTGCACAGTGAGTGTGGGCTCCACAGGGTGGCTCCTCTGTACCATTGTCTGGGGGCTTCAAGACTTGTGGAAGTACAAGTATTCATTGCAACCTCAGTTACATCCCTATGTCTACAGCTCGCTTTGAACCAAGTCAGGCCCGAGTTGGGCTCTGCCACAGGATTTGCCCCACACCACCAGCATTCCTGTATTTGGTGGCTAGATATCATTGCAACCAACATGTGAGGATTTCAAATTGAAAACCTTTTTATTTTGCTGTGAATTCCGTATGGCCCAACTGCACTGTGAGTTTTAGTGCAGTATTTGAGTGTATTCATCATATTCATTTGAAATGACCATACTGTATAAACAATCTTACATTTTTGTTTGTTGATTGATACTTAAAGAGAATTAAATGTACACTGGGTACAGATATAAAAAATTGTTACATAGTTAGTGTTAAAAAGTAATATTTGGATCAATGCCTCCTATGGATTTTTGTAGATTTTCTACTCAGTGAGGCATGCAGTCAATACCTAATTTCTCTGGAGATATACTGCGCTTAACATATTGAGGTTTTTTTAAATACTCCAGTCCTGTGCATTGAGTGTGTAAGACCAGTTTTAATTTGCTATCATTGATGAACATAAGAGTATGAACTGTCTATGTTGAATTCCCTCCAGCATATATTTGTGTTTGCCATCGATTGCAAGATGACTCTCTTCTTTCTTTTCACGACGTCTCACAGTAACTCTTAGCACTTGTGCTACCTCTCACATTGGGTAGATGGATCTGCCCAAATCCTTGCAGAACTTATGCCTATATAAGTTACTATATCTTATATAGTAAAAGCTGCTTAAGACAGTAGTGGTGACTTGGTAAACTTAAGGGTAATTAGAATGTGTGATCACATTTGCCTCTATTAGGACCACTGGTTGTCATTTCTTCAGAGCTGGTGAATACATTTTGTGGGAGCTGATTTCATTGAGCAAAAGTGTATTTTCGTCTCCTGTGTTGGGGAGGGCAGTTGCAGCTGTATCTGATGCCATAGTTCAGCCAGTTCTTCATGCTCCTCACACTGGGTTATTGCAGCACACACTCCTTGAGGTTCATCCAAATGCTTGTACACTGTGTTTGAACAGGGCAATGCAGGCATCAGGCTGATGGTGGGGAAAACTCTGCAGTGCTTGTTCTTGTTTTCCCCACTGGTCTGACAGAACTGTTGCTGTTTGATGTGAAAAACATAGCTTGATGCTTGTCCATTTCTCCTTTTCTTTTACGTGCAGGGGTTGTCTAGAATATATTGGGAGTTCATTTTGTGAGGAAGGATGTGCAAGAATATAAATACCTATGCCTGGAAACATATTCTTTCTAAGCCTGCGTGGCTTCCAGAGAACAGAGCTCTAAATGGCTCTGGATCAAGAGGTTTATTTGGCATCTGTCCATGTATAGTTTGGATTCAGAGGGAGCCTGCTGGATTTTTCTGTTGGTCAAATGAATTATTGATTTGCTGCAGTTTGGTGTGTGCTTCCCAAAGACTGTGTGCAGGACAAACTGTAAATCCTAAAAATAAAAGGAAAATATCATTGGTCTTGCAAAAAAACCACGGGTAGAACTTTGCAGTGTGAAGTAAATACACAGATATTTCAATTTCTGAGTGTGGCATCAGAAATGTGTGCCCAGCAAAAGAGGG